TGAAGGAAGCAATGGCTTTCCTCACATCCCCTTCCCCTACAATAGAAGGAGGTGGGTAGTCCTCTCCCGCAGGTTCAGGGAGAGACAGGTCCTCAGGTGCCGGAGGATGCTTCTGCCGGAGCACTTCTCGGGTTCTATCGTCCCTCGGGGCAATATCATCCGATGATGCCAGCATACGCACAGCCCCCCTTATGTCACCATCGGCCAGCCTGCTGGCCACTCGCCTTCCGAGCTCTTGACTTCCGTTTCCCGACTCCCGCCTCACTCTTTCTTCCGGAGCCACCAGATATGGTCAGATTCAATAAATGCTCGAATCTGCCTCTTGACTACTGTGGTTAGTGAGTGAGACGAACCGCTGCTCTCCGGCTGCCGCAGCGCGATCCACCCAAATGACAGCAATCTACCCCACGCTAATGGAGTTCTGTCTTCACTTAACGCCGCCTCCAGCAGTTTCTGCAGAGCATCCGCTGCGCAGACCACAGCGCCCCGATGCACCCTTTTCAGTGCTCTACCATTAGCAAGTGGCAGTCAAGCAAGTGGCACGCCGCAAAAGAATAACGAGCACACTCAGTAGAAAGACGTGTCAATAATAAAATTGCCGCGTCAGCAAGAACGAGACGAGAGAATGGAAGCAACGCACGTGCAAGGCTACAGAGCAAACAACAAGCAATCGAAGAGCTCTAGGCACCACACAACCTGCTCTCGTGGATGCTCAGTTAACACTCAATAATTAGTGATAGAATTAGTGATAGAATAGGATCCAGATTTTAGTCATATTTACTAGGATACGTACGTTTGGATTTCACCAGTTCACAGACGGATGGAGACGTTTGAATTTCACCAGTTCACAGAGCGACTACGTCAATTAATTTTTACTCAAATGAAACTGAATAGTGAATAGGTAGAGTATAATTATGTTTCATGTTTTATAGAACACAATAAAAAATATAACTCAGTACTCACTGTAGTGAGTGACAGAGAGCGCATTTTCTCGTCGACGAAAACTTGAAGTCACGGACGGACAGACAGACGGACGGAAATGGCGAGCACAATAGTGCATTTTTTCCATAAATGAGAAAATGCGCTAAAAAGGGTGAGCATACTGAAAATTCGGTGTTAATAGTAATGTTAACCAGCGAACGAAATTAAATTGAAAACTACAGCAAAAATATATAGAGGTCAAAATAAATTCAGACCTCATTTCAATTCTAGTAACATAAAGAATTAAAATTGGATTTCATGAAATCTTCATCGAATCCTAGGACGTGGGAGCGGAATCTTCTTTACCTATTCCAATTGTTTTGCCTGTGGTGATAACTAATTTATATATCGTAATTATCTTTTTCTGTACATGATAAATCACTGTATCCTCATTTCCCCTACGTTTTCAAGTATCGATACGTATTTATTTCAACGTATCGAGATTTATCCACCTTGATAATTGTTCAATTGAGTCGGTTCATCTACCCGGCGTAACATTAGTTTTTTTGAAGCTGTCAAACCCTTTATTGATACATTTCTCCAATTTTTATACCGACGAGATTTCCTAGTCTTAGACCTTCAAGTACCAATAGCATTGACTACATGTATTTGTTATCGTAGATAAAAGGCACAACTATTTCTTAGAACTCCAATAGCCTTGAGACATCAGCGAGTACCGGCGCTCTCAAGGCGAGGGACACCGACTTACCGTGTAAGTGATCGTCCAGAAGAAACTGTGCTCCTCAGACGACCACGCTTCTTTTAATCCTGGACTATAACGCTGACGTTATATACTCGTATTTCGTCATGAAATTTTCCTCATTGATCCGATGAAAGTTTTCCTTGTTCGAGGTGAAATTCGACAGTTAAAATGTTTTTTGTTTCTCATTGCGAAAATTACATTGTGGAAATGGAAAAATAGAAAACATTGCAATGCGATTTCACTTCGCGAGAAATAAGTAGATAGAGATTTGTAAACTTAAGCTTGGATCGGGAACAGGTTTTCATTATGCTACTATTAACTTGTTGCGAAAGTGAAAAAAATTACAATTTCATCTATAAATTATTGATCTGATTAGATCTAGCTTATAATTATTCTTTTCGTCTTGCTCAAAATAATTTTTGTTCATTAAAAACATTATAAAATTTACTAATAATTTATGTGATTACAATGATTTCACAAATTGGTGTGATTACAGTATCAAAATTTGTTACTTCTAGTCATAGGCGATATATCATGAGAGACAAAATTAATATAAATATCTTATCGATGAGGACAATTTTGTAGAAGAACTGAATAACATGTGATATATCTCAACCAATCGATGGAACTCGATCAGCAGAAGACTTGCTCGTTTAAGCGTATTATAATGATCACATTTTAAATATCCTGGAACTTTCGATTGAAGAGGTGCATAAAGGAGAAGATTTTCACTTCATTAAAGGATTTTAATTGTTGAAGTTAGGTACACTAATTAGAGAGATAAAAAAGTAGGTAAATAATCACAATTAACACTTACTTTCACATTAAATTATCAAGAAGTCAATTTGTTCATCACAGAGGAAAAAGTCAATCTTACACTCAAAATACAAATATTATAAGTGATACCTATAACAGTTATTATATGCATGCAATAAAACTTCGTCCCGAGATGAGGTAGATAATTACTTAAACTCATCCGCCACACGTCGGAAGAATAGAAATTGATAAAATACATTTATCTATAACAAAAAATAATGCTAATATTGAATGTTTTCGTTTATACCTGCGTGTTTGCAACTTTTGCTTAAATGTTAACAAACTATTAAAATAAAATTCGTTTGTATTATTAGGAAACATTTTTCTTGTGCATAATGGAACAGGCAAATCGTAGCATATGTGAGATGTGCGCATGTGTTATCTAAATAATGACGTTGTGAAATTTAAGTATGAGTTGAAACATGGGAAACCAAAGGGCTGCCGGCGTGATGCTAACGGGTGATCTGTATCGGCATAAGTACGTGGTTGGATGTTGACAGGTGACTCATTTTCCGGCAGCATTGCAATGGAGCTGCAAAAACATGTCAGGTGCTAGCTTGGGATCCGGAACCGCATTCCATTTCTATAAGTTAATACTGAGGTGTAGAATTAGAAATCGGGGCTTGTTCTTTTGTCGTTCTTGAAGAGAGCTCATGCATGACACGCAATTAAGTGTTGTATATATCAGTGGCGAAGTAGAAAAGTGCCACCAGGTGCACGGCAGGTGTTAAAAAATCAAAGTATTTGCAATCGATTCAGTTTAATAAACCGTAATTCAGCGTGGATTAATTAAATTTTGACACTATTTTCGCTTGTGGATAGTCGTTACCTGTTTCAATATTGCAGGTAATATAGGTTGTTCGATATTGCTTTATAATTTAAGTTAGCTTCACGATATTGGCTTCAGTTTGCCTTAAATCAAAGAACAGCTGATCTTAATTGTTTTCAGTCCTGCAGTGCATTCAATTAATTCTAACTAGTACATCGATTTCAAAAACAAGTTCGATATTATGGGGTTTAAGTCCATCTTGAAAATGCAAGTGACAAGCAAATGTCAATTTGCTGGAAGGCACATTTCCCTAAAGTGTTCCTCACCAGTGGCAAACCGCTCATTGACTAATACCACTTAAGATTACTTGAGATTCTGATTCTAGGTATTCATATATTAACTGGAAATTATTGGACGGAAGACTATATATGTAGATAACTTCTTAACATCAATCTGAACATTCAAAATACAGAGAAATATGAACAGAAATTGCAAAATATGGTCTAACGCAAAGCTCTTTCTCTGACTGTGTTGTGCCCAGTTAAAGACAACACCCACTTTTCTCTATTTCACATCCAATTTGAATTATTTGTTAGCATATAAAGTTTTAAACAGCTTTAAACGTGATGCAAGTGAACGTTCATTAAGACCCAACGACCAAGTCAAAATGATTATTTGCCAAGTTCGTGATGTAAAGTAATTTTTTTTTAAAGAATTTTTCAATTTTAGGAATTTTTCATGGTCATAAATTTTTTGATCATGCATTTTTGTCGAAAACGATAATCCTAAGGTAATTTATTATTTTACATATGAAATTTGTTTGCAAAAAAGGCAAAAACCAGACATGAGACAAATAATTGAGTTCTCTGTTTGCACAATTCTTTAATTGCCGAAGCCTTTGTAATCAGAGCTTCTGCTTTTGAATCTTATTAATAAAATATACTCTAGCAAGCACGGCTTATAATATTAACAAATTCTGCAAATGGTCGTATATTGTATGATAGCGAAATTGTATAAAAAGCGTTGATAAACACCATAAAAATGTATCCATAATAGTGTTAGCTTAGGTCTTCACAATGCCTCTGTTTGTAAATAACTAGAGATGGTTTGAATCGGGTTAAGTTTGCCCCCCTTTTTAGCGCATTTTCTCATTTATGAAAAAAGCGCCATTGTGCTCGTCATGTCCGTCCGTCCGTGACTCCACGGACGGACGGACGAGAAAATGCGCTCTCTGTCATTCACCGCAGTGAGTACAGATATAATTTTTCACTCAAATTCAAATCAATGCTTGAGGAATCATTCTTCGATTGTGGAAAAAACTAGACTGCTTCTTAGTTCGTTTGATACTGATTCGAAGGTTGGCTACATCCGTCATTGTTCACATTTCGAAATTTGTATACTTTCTTCAACTTGAATTCGTTATTGATGGATACATTTACTCACGAAAGGATGTCTGCACGCTATTGTTACACGAATATGTTTGACGTCTTATCCGGTAACTAAGAGTCTTTTATATGAAAAATTTGCACTGTTCGCAAAAATATGATTTTAGTAAACATACTTATAGCATTTAGAATATGGGATTAATTGTATATACTTCGTTTACATAGGCCTCATTTCTCACTGTTGCTTCTAAAAGAAAAGCGCATTATGATATAGCTTATTATTCTATGACGCAGAATTTTGTAACCTGTATTAACGCTGTAAGTTTTTTGCCGAAATTATTTAATTTTGAAGGCAAATTTCTTCAAATAAAATACTCTTTTGATAAATATTCCAAAATCTGTTAACAGTAGAATCTAGCTTGGTAGATTTTCCTCGTGATAAATACTCAACTTGTATCATTTCAATTTTGAGTACACGAGAACAATAATGTAAAACAAAATAACCGTAATACGATGTTAGCAATAATGATGAAGTGAGAACATCTGTGGACGAGGAGAATCGCAGGAAAATCGAGAAGCCAGAAAAGTTTTGGCCCAGCTTGAAAAAGTAAAAAAAAGAAAAGAGAAAAGTTTTGGCCCAGAACTTCTCTCCACTGGAATAGAAATTCTAACCGCTCCTCGCCGGATTTGCTCATTATTAATTTTGTTTATCAATCATGACATAATCCAACCAATTATGCATATTCGCCGCAAGTATCAAGTAGGTAAGCATTCAGGCTGCAAATGTCGGTGGAGAGAAACTATAGTGGGATGCCTGTACAAAAAGTGGGTACTTTTATGGGGTGGTGGTAAAAGCTGGTGGAGATTCTCGCTAGAAATGTGTGCTTCTTGTAGCGACAGTGCTGGAGAGTGTTGGTGAAGATACTCACATACAACGTGTGTCGTGGTGGGGTCACATTTCAACGCATGTCCTGGGACGAAGGTGTTGGTGGAGAGGGTCAATTAACGGTTGGACTCACCAACCGTGTTAATCTTTACGGAAGTGGAGTTAATGAATAAAAAAATGGAGTTAATGGAATAATGAATAAAAATTACCTCGCTAATGAATAAAAATTACCTCGCTGCATTATTGCTTCTACTTTGAAATTATATGTTTATCATGTCATGCTGATCATGTTATCAAAATAGTGCAGAATATTTTTATTAATACTTTTTATTCAAGTTTATGAATTTTAAATAGTTAAATCATTTTATTTGCCTATCGATACAATTGTAACATATGCGATGCGACGAATGCTACGCAAGCAACGTGTGGCGAGATTATACCAATGCTTATCCAAATAATTTACTGGGATGGGAATATTTTGCATAGCACATAGGTATCGAACAAAATGATGATGATGAGGGGCAGCTGCGAGAAATTTCCGTTACCTAAATGAGCATTGCATTTTCAATGCTTCAACTTATAGCAATAATTTCAACTGTCGAGTCATACGATCGGATATAATCATATTTATAGGAAAACAAAAGTATTCCGAATTTTCTGTGATTGGGTACGACTTTCAGTGCAATTGGAAACTCGGATGTTCCGACCTAAGGCTCTAAATCAGGAAATATCTACATAAATGAAAATTTAGAAATAAATAAAAAAACGCGCTCTTCATTTGATTTTTAGAATGCTCCATAATTACTTCATGTGTAAAGGAACTGGTTAAATCTAACGAATGTCCAAGATTGTAAAGATTCATCAGTTCCTAGTGCTAGGTAGGATGTTTAAATGTTGCACTGGAACTGCAAGCACATTTAATGTACCGCAAAGTTATTTGGGTATACGTACATCCACTTATTTAGCTAACGGTCAGATTATAAGCAGAAAGTTTGGCCTGTACGTTGTTCGATTTATTGTGTAAGAGAGTTCATGGGGATCGAATGCTAAATTAGCGACGGACTAAAGAAATTTTTCCATTTATCCTGCTAATGGTAAAAAAAACAGCCAGAAACGCTTGCACGATCATTTTACTAGAACGAGACTCGATCTGGAATGATGTGTTAATTGTTGCGGGAGAGGTGCAACA